CCCGCGGCCGCGGCGACGGCCGCGTCCTTGGACGCGGCCTCGGCGCGGACCTCCGCGAGCGCCGCGGACGCCGCGCGCGCGTCGTCCTCGCGGTCCGCGGCCGTCCGGCGCAGGTGCTCCACGGTCTGGCGCGCGAGCTCCGCGCGGTCCGCGTGGTCCCGCGCCGCCGCCGCGGCCGCCGCCTCGAGCTCGGCGACGGCCGCGTCGCGCTCGCGGAGCCGCCGCGCCGCGTCGTGCTCGAGGAGCTGCAGGTCCTTGACCGCGTTGGACCGGTGGGCCTTCTCGAGCTCGAGGTCCTTGGCCGCGGCCGCGGCCTCGGCGTCGCGCGCCCGCGCGGCCGCGTCCGCGTCCGCGAGCTTCGCCCGTAAGCTCCTGGCCATGAGGTCGCTCGCCTCCGCGGCCTCGGCCGCCGCCTCGAGCGCCTCGCGGCTCCGCAGCCGGTCGACCTCGGCGGACTGGAGCGACGCCGCGAGCCGCGCGGCCTCGGTTTGGGCGCCTCGGACCGTCGCCGCGAGCTCGCCGCGCGTCGCCTGGAGCGCCGCGTCGCGGTCGCGCACCGTCGCCTCGAGCTCGCGCTGCTGCGCGGCGCGCCAGGCCGCGGCCTTGAGCTCCTCCTCGTAGAAGAGGACCTTGGCCGCGTGGTCGCGGTTCTGCTCGTCGCGCGCGGCCGCGGCCGCCGCGCGCTCCGCCGCGAGGGCCTCCTCGGCCTGGCGCCGCGACCCCTCGACGTCCATGAGCGCCTCGGCGAGCGCCTGGCGCTGCTCGACGACGGAGCGCCGCGCGTGCTTGTGCGCGCGCCGCCGCGCGCAGCCGCCGCGGACGCGCGCCTGCAGCGACCGCACGCGCGCGTCCTGGAACTCGCGCTCGCGCTCCGCGCCGCGCGCGCGCGCGTCCTCGTCCGCGGCGTCGAGGGCCGCGAGCTCGCGCCGGTGCTCGTCGACGTCGACGGCCCGCGGCCGCGGCGGCGGCGGGCTCGGCGGCGGCGACGCGCGGAGGCGGCCCGCCGACGCGGACCGCTGGAGCACGCGCGCCGCCGCGTCGGCGTCGGCGAAGCGGCTCGCCGGGCCCGGCGCGAAGTCGCGGAGGATCCGCGTCCGCGACGCCGCCGCGCGCGACCGGCGGCCCCGGACGCGCGCCTGGAGCCGCGACGCGCCCGCGTGCTCCCGCCGGCGGTCTTTGCGCGCGCGGTCGCCGCGGAGCCGCGCCTGGAGCGCGCGCGCCGCCGTCTCCTGGTTCGGGAAGGGGCTGTCGAGGTAGAGCGCGTCGTCGCGGTCGTGGCTCACGAAGTCCGCGCCGCGCCCGCGGAGCTCGGCGTCGCGCCGGAACTCGCTGCCGCGGCGCTTCCGCCGAAAGCTCCGCTTGCGCTGGAGCCGCTGGAGCTTCGCCGCCGCCGCGTGGCGGCCCTTGACGGCCTCGCGGTCGCGCCGCGCGCGCATGATCGCCTGCATGCGCGTCGCCGCGGACGCCTCCTCCTCCTCGTCCTCCTCCTCGATGGTGTGGCTCACGTCGTGGCGCACGTGGAGGCGGTAGCGCAGGATGGCGTCGCCCAAGGTCATGCGGTCGCCCTTCTTCGGCACGCCGCACAGGATCCGCAGATTCCGCTGCATCGTCTTCGCGGCGTTCGCGCGCTGCTCGCGCCGCTCGTAGGCCTCCGCCGTGACCCGCAGCACCTCCGAGATGCGCCCGCCCCGCCGCAGGATCTCCGACGCGATGGCCTGCGGGTTCGTCGTCCGCCGCGACTTCCGGCCCCTCTTCCGCGCGTCCTCGTTGAGCGGCTTCGCGATCTTCACGTAGCCCTGGCCGACGTTCGCGAGGGGCGCCGCCGCCTCGCCGTTTCCCGGCGAGAGGTGGGGCGCGCTCCTGGCCTTTTGCAGCGGCGGCGGCGCGCCGGGCGGGCGCCGGCTCACCGCGTCGGGCGACGCGTCGAAGGGCACCTGGTACTCGCCTGCGCGGACGTCAAATCTTCAACCCGACTTCAATGTGCGCGTATGCGAACGTTTCGACGCGAGCTCTTCGGCCTCGCTTCGAGAACTCGACGAGAGCAATCGATTCGTCCAAAAATCAGCCGAATCGACGTCGATGCGACCGAGCTCGAGAGTCGAAGTTTCGTCGGGAGAACCCGGCTCACCGATTGATTTCCACGCAGGTACTCGCGCGGGATGTCGACCTTGCCGCCCCGCAGCGCCGCCAGCGTCAGGCTCCCGATGCCCCCGCCGGAGTCGCGGTCCCGGAGGTGCACGGACGACACGCGCACGCGCAGGAAGCGCGGCTCCGCGTCCTTGGGCGCCTTCTTGTCCTCCGGGATGCGGAACCAGCCGATCTCCCCGAGGCGCCAGGGGCCGTCGTAGCTCGGGTCGAGGCGGCTCGGCCGCGGCGCGCGCGCGAAGGGCGACGACCGGCCGAACTTCTGGGTCTGGGGCCGCGCGCGCGGCGCGTCGTCGTCGTCGTCGCGGCGCCGCCGCGGCGGCGACGCGGACCGCGGCCGCGCGGCGGAGCTGCGGCGGCTCGGCGACCGGCTCCGCGTCGCGGGCGCGCTGTGGGGCCGCCGGCTCTCGCGGCGCGACACGGAGCGGCGCCGCGGGCCGGCGCTCGACCGCCGGCGGCCGCCGCGGGCCGCGCCCGCGGACGACGCGCGGCGGCCGGGCGACCGCGGCCGGCCCGGCGAGGCGCCGGAGCCCTGGTCGTCGTCGGCGGGGGACCGCGCGCCCGCGGGCGCGGACCGGGGCCGCGACCGGCTCTCGGGCGACCGGTCCGGCGACGGCGGCGCGTCGCCGTGGGCCGCGACGGCCTTGGTCTTCGACGACGGGCTGAACCAGTTCGCGTTCTCGCGCGTGATCATCGACTCCATGCGCTCGCGACTGTGGACGTCGCGGCCCGCGGACTCCGTCGTCGTCTGTAAGAAGCCCCGGCCGTCGCCGTCGCGGATCGTCTCGGACCGCGTCCGCTTGTCCAATTTCGGCGCGTCGGCCTTGTACGCGTGCGACGCGGAGAACCAGTTGTTGACCGCGTGGCGGTGGCGGCTCTCGCGGCGGCCCACGTTCTTCACGGACGACGACGCCGTCGTCTTCAGCAGGTGGTCGCTCACGGAGCTCGGCGCGGATTTGGGCCGGCGGCGGTGGCGGCGGCGGCGCCGGCCCCGGAGCGCGTCGAGGCGGCCGACGGGCGAGTTTTCCCGCGATTTGGGCGGCGATGGAGGTTCCTCCGGCCGGCCGTCGTCGCCCGCCTCGAGGAGCAGCGTCGTCGTGGCGCCGACCGCGGGCGCGGCCGCGGGCGCGGCCGCGTCCGCCGACGGCTTCCTCGCGGGGCTCCGGCGCCGCGCGCCGCCGGCGTCGCGGCGCCCCGCGGCGACGAGCACGGGGTCGGACCGGATCTTTTCGCGTAGAGCGTAGCACTCGCGGAGCACGTCCGTCAAAAAGTAGCCGCCGTTGCCGTAGCCCGCGAGGCTCGGCTCGCGCGGCCGCAGCGACCGCGGCCGCCGCGCGGCGGACCGCGGCCGGTTCCGGTCCGCGACGGCCGCGCGCGCGCGCGCGAGGAGGTCGTCGACGGCCTCGGGGCTCCGCGGCTCGCGCGTGTGCACCGTGGCCTCCGCCGTCGCCGGTCGCATGTTCGGCGTCGCGAGGGAACTCGTCGCGTTCGCGGCGAACGCTCCGGGCCCGACGGAGTCCTGCGTGAGGACGACCGTGCCCTCGAGGGACGCGCGGCCCAGTTCCAGGGGGTGCGGCGGCGCCGGGCCCTGGGGCGGCGGCAGCTTCGCGGGCGTCGAGAGAAAGTGCGCGCCGCTGCCCACGGAGCCGTCGCCGCGGTGCAGCGCGAGCATCGCCGCGTCCTCGTCCTCCCCCTTGGGCAGCGCGCGCTTCGCCCGGGCGGCGGTCACGGCGGAGCCCCGGGGCTTCGGCGTCGCCGCGGGCGGCGCCGACCGGCCGAGGCTCGCGGACGCGGACGCGGGCCGCCACGCGCGCGGGCCCGCGGCGCCCGCGGGCCGCGGCGCCGCGCGCCGCGCGGCCTCGACGACGTCGAGCGTCTTCCGCAGGTGGTCCTTCTCGCCGTCGAGCTCCCGCAGGAGCCGCTTCTTGAGCCGCCGCCGCTCGTCGCGGCTCGCGGACGCGTCGACGGGGTCGACCATGCCGATCTGCGCCAGCAGCTTCTCCTTGGCCACGTCCGTCCCCAAGTGCTGCCGCAGGCCCTGGAGCCGGTCGTAGCGGCTCTCCAGATCCCGGATCACGGCGTCCATGGACGACACGTCCGCGTAGCCGCCCTCGGCCACCATGGTAGGCGCCCGGCGGCGCCGACGCCGCGGCGCTGCCAAACCAACCCTTGACGGAAAGAATCCAGGGCTTCAGGGGCGGGCGTTTAAGTGGATGCGGCCGCGGCAGCCCACTTCAACATACCTGGTATCCGCCACAGAGCAGTCATTGCTGTCTCGCTTCGCCGCGAGCTGTGACGCCGCGTGGCCCCTGCGCCCCGCGCCGACGCCGCCGTCGACACACCATGGACTTTGACGCGAACCAGTGGGAGATGGCCCAGCAGCAGATGCAGAACTGCGACCCGGAGCAGATGAAGGCCCAGGCGCGCATGATGAAGAACATGGACAAGGACAACCTGCGGCGCATGAACCCCCAGTTCGCGAACATGAGCGACTCGGAGATCGACATGGCGGCGTCGCAGATGGAGATGATGGCGAGTAACCCGGCCATGCTCAAGATGGCCGCGGCGCAGATGGGCGGCATGAGCCACGGCCAGGCGCGGGCGCAGATGAAGGCCGTGCAGGGCGCGCGCGGCAAGAAGAAGGGCGGCGCCGCCCTCGCCGCGGGGTACAAGGTCGGCGACCGCGTCGAGCTCAAGGGCCTCAAGGGCGCCGCGGAGCACAACGGCAAGCACGGCACGGTCACGGGCGGGCAGAACGACCGGCTCAAGGTGCTCCTCGACGGCTCGGACTCGAAGACGCTGGCGCTCAAGCCCGCGAACCTGGACAAGCTCGCGGGCGACGACGGCGCCGCGGACGTGCCCGCCGGCGGGCTGGACCTGGACGCGCTGCCGAACATCGACGCGGACCAGCTCAAGCAGGCGTCGGAGGCGATGAAGAACGCGGACCCGGAGCAGATGAAGGCGCAGGCGGCGGCGATGCGCAACATGGACCCGGCGACGATCCGGTCCATGAACCCGCAGATGGCCCACATGTCCGACGCGCAGATCAAGGCCGCGGCGGACCAGATGGACGCCATCGCGGGCAACCCGGAGATGATGAAGATGGCGATGGAGCAGATGGAGAACATGCCGCCCGAGGTCCTCGAGCAGCAGATGAAGATGATGCAGAACATGTCAAACGAGGAGAAGCAGCAGATGCAGGAGGCCATGGGCGGCATGATGGGCGGCGGCGGCATGCCGCCGGGCGGCGGCATGCCCGACGCGGAGACGGCGTCGAAGATGATGGCGAACATCTCCGAGGAGCAGATGGGCTCGATGATCGACATGGTCAAGAAGAACCCGGACATGATCAAGTCCATGATGAAGTCGAACCCCATGACCGCGGGCATGGACGAGGCCGCCATCGACAAGCAGCTCGAGATGCTCGACAAGCTCGACCCGGAGACCGTGAAGAAGTTCGTCGGCTACGCGCAAAAGGCGCAGAAGGTCTTCGGCCCGCTCATCGCCCTCTACGCCAAGGTCAACCGGGCCGTCGGCGGCAAGCTCGCGCAGATCCTCGGCGCGTCGCTCGTCGCCGTCGTCGCCTTCTACGTGTCCAAGTGGACGGGGCTCCTCGCCTACGGCGCGCCCGCCGCCGACGCGCCGCCGGTGGACCTCGCGGGCCTCAAGGACGCGGCTGTCGAGGCCGTCGAGTCCGTCACGGCCGCCGTCAACGGCGGCGAGGACGACGAGTTCGCCTGAGTCGCCCGGGCGCGGGAGGGCGGGCTAACGCGTGCCGCCACCGACGCGTACTCCGGGCTGCGGCAGGGGCTGCGGGCCGTGCGCCGCGACGAGCTCGCGATGCAATCGCGAGGCGATCGATCGAGGCGCCAGGCGCTTGCCACGACTCCGGCCCCATCGACAAGTCCATCGACATCTCGTTCGCGACCGCTGTCACGGCGGTCCGTGGATGGAGGGCGAGCGCACGGTCCGCCTGCGCGCATCGGTGTCCAACGACAGCATCATGACCGTGGAGGACGCGCGCGAGGAGGAGCCGAACGACGACGACCCGCTGCGGCGGCGCCCGCGGCGGCGGCGGCCGCGGCGCGCGCGCGCGTTCCTCGCCGTCGCCTTCGTCGTCCTTTGCGGCGGCGCGAGCTACGCCGCCGTCGCGTGCCGGAGCCGCGCGCTCCGGGTCGCGGAGCGCATCGGGTCGCTGCCGCCGCTCGAGGCCGACGCGGCCTACGTCGCGCTTTTGGCGGTTTGGCTCCTGTGCCTGCTGCCGACGTCGGTGCTCGAGGTCGCCGCGGGCTTCATCCTGGGCTTCTGGCGCGCGGCGCTCTGCTCGACGCTCGGCAAGTTCCTCGGGTCCGTGACGTCGTTCGGCATCGGCGCCTACGGCTGCCGCGACGCCGTGCGCGCGCACGTCATCGGCGGCGACGCGGCCCAGGAGAGCGGCTACCTCCGGGGCCTGGAGCTGGCGCTCCAGCGCGAGCCCTTCGGGACGTGCCTCGCGCTGCGGCTCGCCTACGTGCCGGAGGCCGTGCAGAACTACGTGCCCGCGGTCTTCGACGCGCCCTTTGTGGCGTTCGCGGCGGCGACGCTCGTCGGGTCGTCGCTCTACGCGCTCCTCTGGGCCAAGCTCGGCAGCCAGCTGAGCTCCGCGTCGGACGTCGGCGCCGACGGCATGTCGCCGGAGAAGGTCCTCTTCATGTGTCTCGGGGCCGCGGGCCTCGCGGCCGTCTTCGGCCTCGCCCACTGGAACTCGAAGCGCGTCATCGCGCGGTGGAACGCGCTCGAGGTCGTCGCCGACGCGGGCCGCGACGGCGCGCCGGCGCCGAAGCCGCCCGCGGGCTACGCGGCGGCGCCCGCGGACACGCGACGAGCCGTCGTGTAACTTGTGTTTATGGTAACACCTCCTGTTGTTCGCGGTATGAAAATCCACGGTCGTTTATGGCACTGGTGGCGCCGCGCCCTCGCGGCGCGCGAGGTCGAGGAGCGCGTCCCGCGCGGCGGGCTCCGACGCGTGCACGAGCACGCCGATGCCCACGGTCGTCGGCGGCGCGGCCGGCGGAGGCGGCGCGGGGTCCGACGGGTCCGCGACGACGTCGACGGCGACCTCGAGGTCGAAGTCGAGCGTCGCCGCGTCCGGGAGCGCGGCCCGGAGCAGGTGCATAGCCTCGCGCTTCCGCTCGCCGACGACGATCGCGACGGCGCCGGGGCCGCAGTGCGCGCGGAGCGCCGCTTCGAGCGGCGCGACGACGGGCGCGTAGTAGGCGACGTCCGCGCCGATGAGCACGTCCGCGCAAAAGGCCGTCGCGTAGGTGCGCTCGTCGGCCCAGTCGAGCACCGAGGCCTCGACGCGCGGCGGCAGGTCGCGCGCCTCGACGAGCTCCGGCGCGCTGTCCGTGAGCAGCGCGCGGTCGGCGCCCGCGGCGGCGCAGGCGAGGCCCGCGAGGCCGAGGCCGCTGCCGAGCTCGAGGACGCGCTTGCCCGCGACGGCGGGCCGGAGCGTCCGCACGAGGACCGCGGCCGCGGCCGACGACGGCCAGACCGTGCCGCCGAGCGACGACGTCGCCGTGCCGGGCAGCAGGAACCGCCAGGGCTCGTCGTCCGCGTCGCCGACCACCTCGACCTCGATGCCGCGGGGGCCGACGCGCTCGCGCACCGTGCCGAGGCAGCGGTCGCGGTCCCAGCGCGGCACGAGCCGCGACACGCGCACGGTCTCGAAGGCGCACGTCGCGGCGGCGAGCGCTACGATGCGCATCGTTGCTGCTGCTGCTGCTAAGGAGACAAGCTAGCAATCAGCAGATGCGCACCGTTGTGGCTGCGGGCGCCGAGCTACGAGCCTTCGCGTCTAGTTCTGGAGGCGCCAAGCTAGCAATCAGCAGCTGAGCATCGTCGCTGCTGCGGGCGCGAAACTCAATCAGCAAGACCATCGGCCTCGCGCCTTCAACGACTTCGACATCACCTTCAACTTGTAGTAGGAAGGACGCGCTCGGACCCCCTCGGGAGCTGCGCCGGCGGGTCATCGCCCGCGGCCGGCTGCTCGTCGAGCCCCGCGTAGAGGTTCGCGAGCGCCTTGGGCCCGACGCGCCGCTTCGCCTTCTTCTTCTTCGCCGGCGGCTTCTTGCACCCCGGGTGGCGGTACGCGCCGTCGCCCATGTTGATGCGGTCGCCGTCGATCTTCGCGCCGCAGACGACGCAGGCCGGCGCGTAGAGCTCGACGTGGCACGGCGCGCAGAAGATGTAGCCGCCCTCGTCCTTCTTCCGCTTGTCCTTGCCCGCGACCGAATCCCCGCAGCGCGAGCAGACGAAGCACGCCTCGTGCCACTTGCGCCCGTCGGGCAATTCGACGACGGTGCCGCCCTTGACGGGCAGGGCGCAGCCGCGGCACAATCCCAGGTCCCAGCACGTGCCGCCGCGCGCCGCCGCCGCGCCGCGGACGCGCGGCGGCGGCGGGTTCCGGAGCCGCGCCTCGACCCCGGCGTCGTCGTTCTCGAAGGTCGCCGCGAACTCGACGGCGACCATGTTCGCGTACGTCGCGTGCGCCCCGGCGGCGACGGCCGCGACGGTCCAGCGCGCGTCGTAGACGCAGAGGCGGTGGCCCCGCGACCGGACGCCGTCGTCGACGACGAGGTCGTCGACGATGGACGCGCCCGTCGCGCCGTTGGCGAGGTTGCCGTACCAGATGCACTCGCCCGTCGCGCCGCCCCAGGCGCCGTAGCGGCCGTTGCGGTCCGTGGAGCTCGAGTCGTCCGTGCCCCGGTGGCTCGCGACGCCCTCGACGCCGACGTCGAGCACGTGGTCCACCCCGGCGAGGCGGAGGCCCTCCGGCGCCGCGGCCACGGGCTCGAGCGGGCCCTCGAGCGTGGCGAGGAAGGTGAGCGCGTCCTTGCAGGCCGCGGCGCCCTCCTTGGTCTGCTTCGGGGTGCGGCCGGGCGCCGCGTACTGCGCGCCCCTGTAGCACTTGAGCCGCGCCTTGAGCCGCGCGGCGACGTCCTGCGGCCTCGTCCGCGCGGCGGCCAGCGCCGCCAGCACGTCGAGCTCCAGCGCGGCGTGCTCCATCGGGAAGCGAGTTCGGACCGCCTCAGAGCATGCCAGACAGCGCAGAGGAGTGTTCCATAATCGTGAGCAGCTCCTGCAGCATGGGATGCTCCTGAAACCTTGAACGGGGCAGCCCGTCGTGATCGATCGTTGGCCGCTCGACGCCGCACGCCCGGCAGCATGGAGAAGTCGCTGTGGCAGGCCGAGGCGGAGCTGTCGCGCTTCGACGACGACGCGCACCGCCTCAAGCTCGAGCGGGGCGCCTACGCGAGCGACCTCGACGCCGCCCGGGCCCAGAACGTCGTCATCTCCCACAAGGAGGCCTTCTACGCCCCCGACGACCCCCGCGCGGACTGGAGCGGCATGGTGCCGAGCCAGGGGACGAGGAAGGCCGTGCCCGGGGCCCAGGGCGCGCGCATGCACATCGAGCGCACGGAGGAGGGCGGCATCGTCGCCGCGGAGGAGTTCCACGAGCGGCTCCCCGGGGGCAAGAAGCACTGGGAGGCCGACGGCCGCTTCCAGACCGAGTCCCAGCGCACGTTCGCCGGCCGGGGCGCCGGCGGCTTCGGCGCGCCGGGCGGCGACGGCGCCGCCTTCGTCACGTCGAGCCAGCTCGCGGCGCGCGGCGCGTCGACGGACCGCGAGTTCTTCGGCTCCTCGACGAAGCGCCGCGGCAAGAAGCAGGTGCGCCCGGCCTACGAGACGGCGGGCGTCTACCACCAGCCGTCGCCCATCCTCGGCGGCGCCGCCGTGCCGGCGCCCCGCGGCGCGCCGCGGCCCGGCGGCGCCGCCGTCGCCGCGACGCAGCCCCACCGGTCCGGCTCCCTCGCGGGCTACCGCTCGCGCCAGTTCAACGCCGGCGCGCCGAGCATGCTCAGCACGGCGGCGAGCGGCATCGCCCACAAGGTCGCCATCCCGGACACCCTGCCCAACAACGGCACCTACGAGTGGGCCCACAAGAAGGAGCTCTTCGACGCCGGCAACTACCGCGCCCCGGGCACCATCGTCGGCTACACGGGCCGGCGAGCGCCCTGAGGATGGCGCGCCGCGCCGTCCTCGAACCTCGGTAAGTCGGTTTCTTCGATGTTTCAATTCAATGTGCACATTCGGAAGTATGCGGGCAGCTCGCGTGCGGCGTGATCGTGCGACTGCGGCCGGCGACGATTGCATCGGCTGAATATGCCTCGCCTCCAGCAGCTCGTCGTCCTCGCTTTCGCGCTGCCCACCGCTCGGGCCACCTGCTGCTACTACTCGGAAGTCAACGACGCCTGCGATTGCACCACCGAGGCCGCGGACGGCAACTATTGCGACGATCAATCCTTGTGCTCGTCACAATGCGGCGGATCCTGGTGCGCGGAGGACGAGGACGAGGACGAGACCGAGGACGAGGGAGAGGCGCCCGCGCCGACGCCCGCGCCGACGCCCGCGCCGACGCCCGCGCCGACGCCCGCGCCGACGCCCGCGCCGACGCCCGCGCCGACGCCCGCGCCGACGCCCGCGCCGACGCCCGCGCCGATTAGTAGCGCTTGCGTCGGCTGCAAGGGCGAAACATCATCCGACGTCTGCTCGGGCAACGCATACTGCTCCAACGTAATCATTTACTCCGACGCCGACATCGACGCCTGGTTGGAAAGCGAGTGCTGGGTCATCGGCGGCAGCCTGATCATTTCCGGGGATCGCGACGCCATCACGAGCCTCGCGCCCATGGCGCCGCTCACGGAGATCTGCGGCAACCTTGAGATCTCGCTCATCCAGCTCGGCAGCCTCGAGGGGCTGGACAATCTCCGACGCGTGGGCGGCAGCGTCGTCGTCCAGCAGAACGCGTGGGCGAGCGGCTTCGAAAGCTTCTACCTGAGCGACCTCTCCGCCCTCGCGTCGCTCGAATACGTCGGCGTCTCCCTCGCGATCACCCAGAACATGATGATCACGACGCTGGAGCAGTTGTCGCCCTTTGCGACCACGCGCGTCGTCGGGAGCGTGGACGTGAGCTACTATCCCGACGCCGGCTACGACTGCCGCCTGGCCGCGTCGTGCGCGCCCGCGACCCTGGTGTCGACGTGCTCCTCGTGCGCCGAGGACGCGACGCCCGCGCCGAGCGTCGCGCCGACGCGCGCGCCGACGCGCGCGCCCCTCCTGCTCCACATCCACCCGCCGACGCCCCGGCCGAGCGTCGAGGAAGACCCCCCGATCTTCGCCGGCGAGTACGGCGGCGTGCGGCTCGGCGCGTCGAAGAAGCGCTCGAAGGCCTACAACCACCTGCTCCAGTTCGCGCTCGTCGTCGCGCTCGGCTTCGTCGCGGCCCTCGAGCTCATCCTCATCGCCGCCGCGCCGCTCCTGGGCCGGACGCAGAAGCGGACCATGATCTTCGTGTCGACGATCCACCACTTTTTGACCGCCGCGTTCCTCGTCGAGCTCTACTACGAGGCCCGGACGCTCTTCTTCGCGCTCCAGCTCGGCGCGGAGTGCGTCGCCGTCGCCGTCGCCTTCGTCGCGCTCGCGCGCGTCGCGGCGACGACGCCGGTCCTCGCCGTCCGCGTCCGCCGCCGCGCCGCGCTGCTCCGGGTCCTCCAGGCCGCGACGGTCCTCGACCTCGAGCTCCTGCCGCTCTTCCCCTGGGCGCTCGAGGGCCAGCGCTGCGACGGCTTCCCGTCCGCGCGCGCGTCGCTCCTCTCGCTCGGCCTCGCCGCGGGCCGCGCCGCGGTGCAGGTCGCCGTCGCCGCCGAGGTCGTCGGCGAGGGCGACGTGCTGACGATCCTGACCATGGTCGCGACGATCGTCGAGCTCGCCATGGCCGCGTACCGGCGCCGCGATGCGCTGCGGTCGGCGACGGAGACGAGCGGGGACTCGGCGAGCCGCGAGGGCGCGGACTTCTTCGCCTTCGTGCCCTGGCCCGGGGCGCGCCGGGACGAGCCGAGGAAGAGCAGCGAGATCGAGCTCCACCACAACCCCCTCTCCGTTCGCGCCAAGGGCGATGTGACGAAGAGCAGCGCCTGGACGAAAGCCTACACGGACGAGGGCCACGAATATTACCACAACACGGCCACGGGCGAGACGTCTTGGGAGCCGCCAGAGGGCTGACACGACGCTGGTTTTAAGAGGCTGACACGACGCTGGTTTTAAGAGATCGATTCGCCGTCTTCATAAAGCACGCTCCTCCCGGCATTACGAGGTCGCCGCTACTCCTGGGGCTCGGGCGGCGCCGCGGGCCTCAGGAGGAACACCGCCGCGGCCGCGACCGCCGCGGCCGCGGCCGCGACCGCGGCCCCGGCGCAGCCGCGCGCGCCCGGGAGCGCAGCGATGACGTCGAAGCCGACGATGTCCTCGAGCCGCTCGCGCCACTCGTCGAGCCGCAGCAGCGCGAGCGCGAGGAAGACGGGCGCGCGCATGCGGTCCTCGTCGCGGGCGCGCGCGGTCTCGAAGAGGCGCCGCGCGCGGTCGCGGTTCCGCGGCACGCCCGGCGCGCCGCGCGCGTGCATCTCCGCCATGGCGAAGGCGCCCCGCGGCGACCCCGCGGTCGCCGCGCGCGAGTACCACGTGAGCGCGCGCGCGTGGCGCGTCGCGAGCAGGTCCGCGACATCCGAACCCGCGACGCCCGCGCCGCCCGCGGCGACGACGAGCGCGCCGTCGCGCACGGCGTCGCCGAGCGCCGCGGCGCTGTCGCCGCCGCCGTGCTCGGACGCGCTCAGGCGGTGGTAGCGGAGCGCCGCGTGCGCCGCGTGGCCCGCGGGGCCCGCGGCGCCGAGAACCGCGCGCGCGGCACCGTCGCGGTCCAGGAGCCAGGCCGCGTTCGCCGCGGCGACCTCAAAGCCCACCTCGGCGGCCTCGGCGTACCAGAGCAGCGCCGCGGCGCCGTCGCCCGCCAGGAACGCGTCGAAGCCCGCGCGGACGTCGCGCGCGGCCCAGCCCGCGCGCGCGCACGCGTCGAAGAAGTCGAGGGCCCGCGCCGGGTCCCGCGCTACGCCGCCGCGGCCCTCGTACTTGACGAGGGCGAGCTCGAAGGCCGCGTCGAAGTGGCCGTGGCGCGTCGCCGCGCGCTCGTACAAGACCGCGGCCTCGCGGCCGTCGCGCGCGACGCCCGTGCCCGTGGCGAGGCAGTGCGCGGCGTTGAAGTTCGAGTCGCCGTCGGCGTCGAGGCGCGCCGCCTCGGAAAAGTAGCCAAAGGCCTTGGTCGCGTTCTGGTCCAGCGTGTGGCCGTAAAAGTACTCGTAGCCGAGGCCGTTCAGGGCCTTCGCGCTCCCCGCGGCCGCCGCGGCCTCGTAGTGGGCGACGGCCGCCGCGTGGTCCGGCGGCCCGCCCTCGCCCCGCAGGAGCATGGCCGCGTAGAGGCACCTCGCGTGCGCGTGGCCCGAGTCCGCGGCGCGGCCGAAGAAGCGGCGCGCGCGGGCCTGGTCCCGCGCGACGCCGCGCGCGCCCCAGTAGAGCAGGTCGCCCGACGCCACGAGGGCGTCGACGTCGCCGGCCTCGGCGCGGAGCATCTGCGCCTGGATCGCCGCGTCGTCGTCGCCGCGCTGGCCGTCGTCGAAGGAGCCGTCGTCGAAGCGCTCGTCGCTGAGGCGGTCGAGCTCGACGTGGGTCTGCTCGCCGACGGTGTGGTACTCGTCGCGGCCCGCGACCGCCGCGGCGCGCGCGTACCACGCGGCGGCCTCGACGGACTTGGCGACGCCGCGGCCCTCGCGGTAGCGCTTGGACAGCGCCATCGCCGCGCGCGCGTCGCCTAAGAGCGCCGCCGCGAGGAGGAGGCGCAGGCCCGCGGACGTCGCGCGGTCGTCGCAGGACCGCCCCGCGACGGCGGCGCCGACGGCGCAGGCGACGATGGGCTCCGCGGGCGCGGCGACGGCGCCGGGCGCGGGGAGCGCGCGCGCCGCGGGCGCGGCGTCGGCGAGGCCCGCGAGGTGGAGCACGGCGAGCATGCGCGTCGCCGCGGCGTCGCGGAGCGCCGCCGCGCGCCGCAGGTGCGCCGCCGCGCGGGGCGCGTCCGCGGCGCCGGTTTCGCGCGCGCACCGCGCGGGCCCCGTCGCGCGTCGCTCCGCGCCGTAGAGCAACAGCTCCGCGGCCGTGCGGCTCGCGGCGGCGGCGTGGCGCCCGGCCGCGGCGGCCTCGTAGAGCGCGACGCGCGCCGCGCGCGGCGCGCAGGCCTCCGTCGCGCGGACCGCGTCGTCCCACGCGCCGTCGTTTTCGACCGCCGCGTCGACGGACAACGCGTCCGGGCCCCGTCCCGGCGGATCCTCCGCGGCTTTTGGCGGCGCGAAGGCCGTCGGCGCCAGGTGCTCGACGTCGCGCGCCTCCGGCGGGAAGGTCGCCAGCGCCGCCGCGTGGAGCGCCGCGGCCGCCGCCGGATCCGCCGCGAAGGGGAACGCGGCCGCGTCGGCGAACGCGCCGCGGAACCTGTGTGGAATTCAAATCTTCAACCCGACTTCAATGTGCGCATATGCGACAGTTTCGACGCAAGATCTTCAGCTGTGCTTCGAGAACTTGACGAGAGCAATCGATTCGTCCAAAGATCAGCCGAATCGACTTCGATTTGATCGAGCTAGAGAATTCTGAAGTTTGGTCAGGACCACCCAAACCAGTGGGTGAATTCCACACAGCGCGGAACCCCCGCCGGTCCGGGTCGCGGCCGAGGTGGAGGGCGCCGTCGTTCCAGGCGACGTCGTCGTAGAAGTCGAGCGTCGAGTCGCGCCTGCCGTCGACGTAGAAGCCGAAGACGAACCTGGCGAGGCGGCCGTCCGCGCGCGGCTCGGGATTCGCCGTCCGGTTCGCGAAAGAGAAGACGACGTGGGTCCAGGCGTAGGTCGGCAGGGGCAGCTCCGTGTCGGCGCCGACGTCGTCGCCGCCCGCGTGCGTCGACACGCGGAGCGCGAGGCGGTTCGAGTCCGGCAGGAGCCACGCGCTGGGCGTCCGCGCGCCGCCGAGCCGGCCCACGTCGCCCTTGAAGAAGACGCCCCGGTGCGCGCCCGACGGCTCCTCGGCGACGTAGATCCAGAACGCGAGGCTGAAGTCGCCGCGGCCGAGCAGCGGCAGCTCCTCCGCGGGGATCTTCAGCGCGTTGTCGCCCGCGGTCGCGAAGACGCCGCGCGCGTCCCACCAGGGCGCGAGGGGCGGCGCGGGCGGCGCGAGCGCCTCCGCGGCGGCGGCGCGGTCCACGTCGACGACGACGGCGTCGGCGCAGGCCTCGACGGTGACAGTGGCCGCCGCGACGGCGGCGACGGCGTCGCCGACGACGAGCGCCGCGGTGTACTCGCCGGCGACGGCGAGGCGCAGCCGCGCCTCGCCCTCGACGGTCGCCGGCGGTTTTCGCGGCGGCGGCCAGGGCGCCGCCGCCGCCTCGAAGGACCGGTCCTCGAAGCGCGCCGCGATGGCCTCCGCGTCGCCCGGCGCGTTGACGCGGGCGACCAACGTCCGGCCGCCGTCGTCCCAGCGGAAGCTCGCGGCCCGCAGCGCGACGTTCGTGCGCACGAGCCGCTCGAAGGCGGCGACGTCGGCGACGGGCGGCGCGTTCGTCGGCGCGTCGAACTCGAGGGCCATGGTCCAGTCCTCGGGCAGCCACCGCATCGCGACGACGCGCGCCGCGACCGCGGGCCCGCCGGCCTCGTCGTGGAGCTCCCGCGGCAGGTCGCCGTCGCCGCGCAGGTCCAGGGCCGCGTCGGCGTCGACGCGCGCGAGCGCGCCGGCGCCGGGCGCGCCCACGGCGGTCGGCGCGCCGAAGAGGCCCACCCAGACGTCGGAGTGCGCCGCGGCCTCGGCGCCGCTCACCGTCCAGGCGAAGCGCAGGCGGTCGTAGGCGCAGACGGCGAGCGTGCCGTTCGTCGCGCCGACGACGGCCAGCGACGCGCCGTCGGCGGCGGCGGCCAGCAGCAGCGCCGCGGCGGCGAGACGCGGCCCCATGCTTAGCGGCACTTGCTTGAACATTCAATAAATATGCAATATCTGTTCAATAGTCTCAGTTTCAGTTTAACATTGTAATCGGTGACGATTTCGTCATTTTACACAGATATGTAATTTGGATGAGCCGAGACCGTGTTATTACGCAGTCGACAACCTTTTTTTGTTAACCGGGCCGCGGGTCGCCACCCGTCTGAGGTGACTCGGGTCCGTTGATACTCTAATTGCGCGGAAAGCTGAGTCAAGGAAAGGGATCGGAAGCTAAAACAGCAACAACGATGGCCGCATACTCGGAGCAGGAAATCGGGCCCGCGGCGACGAGCGGCGACCTCGGCGCGGCGCGGCGTCCCCCGCTTCCCGCGCGCCCCGCCCCCAGCGCCGCGACACCGCCCCCCGGCCGCAGGCGAGGCGCCCTACGACGACGCCGAGCGCGGCGCGCCGCCGGCGCCCGCGGGGGCGCCCGCCGAGAAGGAGGACGACGCCGAGGAGGAGGGCAGCCCCGAGCCCGTCGAGGACGACTGGATCCGCGAGACCCAGGCCCGCGTGCGGCTCATGCGCCACAGCCTCCAGTGCCGGACGCGCGAGCGGACCGGGCCGTGCCGCGTCAAGGGCTGCGCGGAGGTCACGGAGCTCCTCGCCCACGTGTCGTCCTGCCGGCGCGGCGAGTGCGCCAAGCCCGGCTGCAAGGAGACGAGCCGCCTCATGGTGCACCACCTCCGCTGCTGGAACGCGCGGCCCGAGCAGCGGTGCACCGTCTGCGGCCCCGTCTGCGACCAGATCCAGGCCGAGGAGGAGGCCCGCGCGGCGCTGGAGAAGTGCCGCCCCTGCGGGCCGAACGGCCAGGTGCCGCCGCCGGCCCCGCCGGCGACGCTGGGCGCCGCGCCGGACGCCGCGGCGCCGGCGGCGGCGTCGCCGCTGCCGACGCACCTGCCGCCGCCCGCGTCCCAGGCGTCGCGGCCCCTGCCCCAGGCGGGGACGCCGACGAACGCGCCGGCCTTCGCGACGGCCCTCGCGCGGCCGCCCTGGACGAGCCCCGCGCCGCCGCCGGCGACGGTGCCGCCCGCGCTGCCGCCGTCGGCGTCGCTCCACGACTACGCGCGCTACCACGCGGCCGCGGGCATCACGGTGAACACGCGGCCGGGCCCGCCGCCCATCCGCATGCCGCCGCCGGGCGGGCGGCGCCGCTACGGCGCCGTGCCCGGCGTCGACTGCCCCGAGGACTTCCGGTGCGCCATCTCCGCGCAGATCATGGTCGACCCGGTCATGCTCGTCAACAGCGGCCAGTCCTACGAGCGCGCGGCGCTGTTGGACGCCCTCGCGCGGCGGCCGGGCGTCGACCCGCTCACGGGCGGCGCGTTCGAGGACGCGCCGCTCATCGCGGAGAATCGCACGTTCCGCCGGGCCATCGAGGCGTGGCGCGACGCGCACGGCCCCGCGGGCGCGCCGCGGAAGCGCGCCAAGGTCGGCCCGGGCTACGACGCCGAGCCCGCCGAGGACGTCGAGGGCCGCCACCGCTGCTCCACGTGCAACAAGACGAACACGACGTTCTCCGTCAAGGGCGACGGCTCGCTGCTCAAGACCTGCGACGACTGCCGGTCCCGCGCCCGGGGCTACTACATCTCGCGCCGCCGCCGCGAGCTCACCCAGAACCCGCCCGCGGACTACCGCCGCGCGGGCCTGCCCACGGCGCTGCCCGCGCCCCTCCACGCGCCGCCGCGCTACGAGCCGGGCGCGCCGTCGCCGACGGCGCCCGGTCCCGACGCCTACGCCGCCTACCGCAAGCCCGACTACGCCTACGCCCACGTCGCGTCGCCCTACCACCGGCCGCCGCCGCACCACGTCGCGCCGCCGCCGCACCACGTCGCGCGGCCGCCGCTCCCGCCGCACCACGTCGCCCAGTACCGCTCCCCGACGTCCATCGCCGAGTGGGCCGCCCAGGACGGCCACGCCCAGGGCCCGCCGCCCTGGGCCGCCCACGCGCCGCGCCACGCGGCGCCGCCGCCCCACGGCTTCCGCCCCCCGGAGCAGCCGTAGGGCGCGCGCGCGCCGTCGCCTCCCCCCCCCCCTTTTTTTGGACCCAGCGCGCCCGGCACGGGGCGCGCTCCTCCGCCTCTTCGTATCATCCCTAAATTTTTTGGCGCCACGCTTAGGTGAGGAGGGGCGTCTTCTCGCCGTCGACGACCGCCTGGGGCGGCGGCGACGGCGCGGCGTCGCGGAGGACGTCGTCGTCGAAGGGGTTCGCCGCCGCCGCCGCGGGCACGGCGGCGGCCACGGGCGGCGCCGGCGGCGCCGGCGCCTGGGGCGGCGGCAGCTTGGGCGGCGGCGGCTCCGCGCCGTCGAGCGGCGCGAGCGCCGTCTCCGAGGGCATCGCGAGCGCGGCCCAGGCCGCGGAGACGTTGACGAGGGTCACGAGGAGCGACACGGTGGACAGCGGGTTCGGCGACACGACCCAGGACGCGGACACGAGGCCGCCGAGGCGCGCGGCCGCGTACGCGACCGCGAGCGCGGCGAAGCGGGACTCGGTGCCGTGCATCTCCGCGACAAAAACCGTCGCGACGGCGTCGGCGCCGTAGAGCGCGCCGCGCGACGTCATCATGGCGACGACGAGCGCGTCGCGGCTCAGCGGGTCCAGGCTCGCGACGTACTCCGGCGCCGCGAGCGCGAGCACGCCGAGCGCCGCGAGCGCGAAGCACGCCGCGAGCGTGAGCCGCCGGCCGAGGCGGTCGACGAGGTGCCGCGCGGCCAACGCCCCGAGCACCTCGGACAGGAGCGCCGACGCGACGATGCCGTAGTCGACGGCCGCGCAGGGCTCCGCGGCGTCGAGGCGCCGCGGGGTCGCGTAGAACGCGGACGCGGCCGCGCGGCCGTCGGCGTCGAACTCGAGGCGCACGAGGGACAATACGGAAAAGAACCCAAAGGCGAGGAGGAACTCGAGCCCGCAGGCGCAGAGCGACGCGACGGACGCCGCGGACCGCGCGACGCGGCACGCGGCCGCGCGCGGCGCCGCGTCCGCGGGCCGCGGCGCGCGCGCGGCCGCGTCGAAGACAGAGAGGACGTCGCGGCGCCTACCGGCCGCGCCCGCGAAGTTCGCCGCGGCGGCCCGGTCGAGCTCGCGGCGCGCGGCGGCGAAGCGCCGCCGCTGGACGAGCCAGCGCAGCGACTCGGGCAGGCGCTTCGAGCACGACACCGCGGCGCCGAACGGCGCGAGCGCGACGACGGCGCAGACGCCGCGCCACTGCGCGCCGACGGCCGCGCCGTCGGAGGCGCCGACGGCGGAGACGACGTCGACGCCGCCGGCGATGAGCGCGTGGGCCAGCGCCGCGCCCGCGGACCCGAGCGCGGCGAAGAGCGCCAGGGTCGTCGCGAACGCGCCGCGGCTCGCCGCGGGCGCGCGCTCGACGGCGAGCACGTAGGGCCCGAGCGTCGTGCCGGCGACGGCGACGCCGACGACGGCCGACGCGACGACGAGCACGTCGAAGCTCGCCGCGAACGCGCAGACGACCGCGCCGCCCGCGCCGACGACGCAGCTCAGGCAGCACGCCTCCTTGCGGCCGACGACGTCCGCGGTCGCCGCCCATAAAACCGCGCCGACGATCTGCCCGACGATGACGCCCGTCGACAGGCGCGCGCCCCGCGACTCGCCGACGCCCCACTCGCTCTTGGCGCAGGCCGCCGTGATCGTGAGGGCCTGGAGAAGGGCGCCGCCCGACGCGGCGACCAAACCCGCCTGCATGCCCAGGGCGCGGCCCGAGGGGCCGATGCCGAGCAGGCTGAGCACGGGCTCCATGCCCGTGTGCTGGCCGAGGCCCCGCGCGACGGACTGCGGCTGCGCCATCTCCGTGCGACACAGGGCGACGAGCGCAGAGGCAAGGCGTCGAGCGCTTGCCTGTGGCAACAACTCGGGCGGGGTCTTCGGGTGCGCACCCCCTTCAATAACTAGTCCAACAAGTTCTTGTGGCAAATTTACACTAAATTACAGCCTATTGTGTCGGAGGCCGCACATCTAGGCCGCACTTGCGCACCTAGTTCTGGTGGTGATGCGCCCGCCCCCGCGCGCCGCCGCCCGCTAAAGTCGGCGCCGACAAATGGCCCCGCCCATCTCGGGCGCGGCCCTCAAGCGGGGCCGCTACCAGGGCACGTGGCGCGAGCGCTTCTTCTACATGGCCGAGGGCTCGTCGACGCTGCGCTACTGGGAGAGCGACGCGGACCGGCTCGCGGGCCTGCGGGCGCGCGGCGAGTTCGAGGTCTTCGGCGCGGCGCCGCTGGGCGACGCGTCGGAGCGGCCCTGGGTCGTCGCGGTGCACGTCGCGGCCGGCGGCCGCGTCGAGGCGGCGCTCCGCGCCGCGGGCGTGCCGAGCCGCGAGGAGTGGCTCGCCCTGCCCTCGGCCGAGGCGCGCGACGCCTGGGTCGCGGCGCTCGCGGCGGCGGCGGCGCCGGAGAAGTCCGCCCGCGACGAGACGTTCGCGCTCGACGACGACGTCTGGGCCGACGCCGCGCAGACGGCCGCGCCCGCGGGCGTCGGCGGCGCGAGCGTCTACGACTACAGCATCGTGCGCGAGGGGTGGCGCGTGCGCGTGACCTACCACGTGCTCGTCACCGTCGACGGGCCCGCGGCGGGCGCGGCCGCGGAGCCGTGGTCCGTGCGGCGGACGCACGGCGACTTCCGCGCGCTCCTCGCGCGCCTCGACGCGACGCAGCAGCACCGGGACATGGCCGACGACTTCGCGACGCTCGAGGACGTCGCGCGCCTCGACCGGCGCCACGGCGCGATGAACCCGAAGCGGTTCCTCTCGAGCCGCCACCTCCGGCGCCGCGTCGCCTTGTTGAACTCCCTCCTCGCCCGCGTCGTCAGGGACGACGCCCTGCGCACGTCCGAGGCCTTCCGCGACTTCATCCGCCCCCAGCCCCTGCGCGACGTCGACGACCGCGCGCCGCCCGCCGCGCCGGCCGAGGCGGCGCCGCGGAAGGTCGAGCCGCGGCCCCGGCGGCGCCGCGGCGCCGCGGCGGCGCCCCGGCGCCGGGCCGCGGCGCCGCCGCCGGCGGGCGCCGTCGAGCGCGCGCTCCGGGACCACGACCCGCGGCTGAGCTTCGCCGCGGGCGTCTTGATCGCCGCGGCCGTCGCGCGCGCCTACGGCGCGCCCGGCGCGCTCCTCGCGGCGCTCTTCGCCTGCGGCGCGGCCTGCGGCGGGCGCCTCGGCGCGCGCGACGCCGAGGAGCGCGCCGCGGCGCGCGACGCGGAGCGCGCGTCCGACGACGAGCGCCGCGACGACGACCGCGACGACGCGGCGTCGCCGGGCGGGTCCGCGGCGTCGCTCGCCGACGACGACCGCGACGCGCTCTGCAGCCTGCCGCCCTGGCCGTCGCCGTCGACGAACGACGGCCACTGCTGGAGCGAGCCCGCGGCGGGGCTCTTCCGCGTCCGCGGCGGGTCGTACCTCGCGGACCGCGTCAAGGTGCCGAGCGCGCCGAGCCTCTGCGCCCTCGAGGGCGTGGACCTCTTCCTCACGGACGTGCCCCAGCTCCACGTCGCGCGCCACCCGGGCGCCTTCGTCGCGAAGCGCCGCGCGGCGCGCGCGCCCGACGGCGGCGCGGCGGCCGACGCGTTCTGCCTCAACTTCTGCATGCCCTGGGGCAACTTCGTCATCTACTGGGCCCGGCCGCCGCCGGACGGCGGCGCCGCGGCGCGCGTCCTCGACGACTTCGTCCGCGCGCGCGACGACGGCCACCGCGACGCGCGGCTCAAGCTCATCCCGCGCGTCGTCGAGGGCAACTGGCTCGTCCGCCGCGCGGTCGGCGGCGGCCACAACGCCGCCAAGCTCGCCGAGGCCCTCAAGCTCTCCTACTTCTCGGGGCCCGACTACTTCGAGGTCGACGCGGACATCGTCGGCTCCGCGGCCGCGCGGCGGATCCTCTCCGTCGTCAAGAGCGCGACGTCGGAGCTCGTCCTCGACCTCGCCCTCGTCGTCGAGGGCGCCACGCCCGAGGACCTCCCCGAGCAGGTCCTCGGCGCCGTGCGCCTCCACCGCGTCGACCCGGCCCTCGCCCTCGCCCTCGACCTCTGCCCGCTCGCCTCGGGGTAGGTGGTGGCTTTTATATATGACCGTTCATTTCTACGCTGCAGACTTCAGCGTCGGGCGAGCCAGGTGATGCGCGGCCAGTCGTATCCAGGATTGGTCGCGGAGATTGTTGATGAACGCCGCGCTTTCGGCGTACTCCCTTGCCCAGTGTCGCTGGCACTCGCCCGGCCCCGGGACGCGCTTCGGGGGCGCGGGCGGATCTCTCACAGCGATGCTTCTGCTCACCGTCGCGCTCGCGGCCTGCGCCGCAAGCGCCGCACGCGCCGCGCCGTCGGGCCCGTCCAGGCCGATGCCCCGCCTGCTCTCGGAGCAGGTCGCCGAAGACGCAGACACCCAGATCTTCGCGGACGACGCCGCGGGCTCGGGCTCCCAGGCGGCGGTCGACGGCGCCTTGGGCAGGCGCGTCTCCGACGACCTCGACCTCGGCATGGTCAACGGCGGCTCTGACGTCCACGCGCCGGCGAACCCGACGTTCACTCCGCGAGGGAGCGCGACGGCGCTCGGAGGCGATCGTCGTCGCGTGGCAGCCGGCGACGCGGCGTCGCGGGGTGCAAGGCCGAGGCGGCTCCAGACGACGTCCGGGCCCTCAAGCACAGCGGCGCCGTCCGCGAGTCCGTTGCCCGCGGAGACCGCCGCCTGCTTCCTGGCCGGCGGAGACTGCGCGTCGTGCTGCGGGTGGTGCACGGACGAGACCGACGCCGCCCAGCCAGACGACGATTGGCGCTCCATGGACAGCTACGATTTCTCCGGGCGATCGGGCTGCGTTTGTCTGGATTTCGGCTACACCATCGGCGCTTATTTGGATCTCACCGACTTCTCCGACTGCGTCCATTCGACCGGCAGTTTCAATTTCGGCACTATCGACGCTCTCGAAGGGGATGACGTTGTGGTGTTGGAGGGTTACAGTTACAATGCTTACCGTGTCTCTGGCGGTCCTGGGGATGACTTCATCTACATGGAGTCAAACTATGGAAGCGGCAGCGTCATTAGAGGAGACGCCGGCGACGACGTGATCTACGCCGGTGGAGACGATTCTATTTCGCTATTCGGCGGCGACGGGAACGATCTGTGCTACATCAACGACGTGGCTTACGTCTCTACCTCCACCAGCTGCGAGCTCCCCCCGACGCCGAGCCCGACTGCGACGCCGACGGCCCTCCCGACGCCGAGCCCGTCTGCGACGCCTCTCCCGACGCCCCTCGACGCGAGCTACAGCTACGAGTACGAGCTCCTGCTCGAGTACTCCTACTCCTACGGCGAGCAGCGGGACCTCGTCGCCGCCGTCGCCGACGGGCAGCCCGAGATCCAGATCTCCTCCGACGTCGAGCTCTACTCGCAGCTGGCCGTCGACTACACCGCGCGGATCTCCTCGGACACCGGGGACCGCGCGATCGACGGCGACGGCTTCACGCGCCTCTTCTACGTCACGGGCCACCTCATGCTCGACGGCCTCGTGCTGAAGAACGGGCTCGCGGACGACTCCTCGTCGCCGTCGATCCACGGCGGCGCCGCGTACGTCGCGAGCGGCGGCTCGCTCGCGCTCCGCAACTGCACGCTGGTGTCGAACCGCGCGTCGCGCTCGGACCCCAGCGGTGTAGCGAACGGCGGTGGAATCTACGCCGCAGGCAGCCTTACCACCACGGACTGCCTCTTTTCCGGGAATCTCGCCGACGGCCCGGATCTCAACTGGGGGTACGGTGGCGCCGTCTTCGCAGCCGGCGGCTGGAGCGCGACGCGGTGCGCGTTCACGGACAACATCGGCGACTACCAGGGCGGGGCCGTCTTCGTCGGCGGCGGCAGCACCTACTTGGACTCCTGCACGTTCGCGGGCAACGCGGCGCCGTACAACGGCTACGGCGACAACGTCGGGATGGGCGGCTCCGCCGAGGTCTACGCGCTGTCCGTCACGACCGACGAGCAGGACTGGTACCTGCGCGGCGACGCCTACGGCACGCTCGCGTTCTGCGACACGCCGGGCGTCGTCGTGACGGGCTCGAAGGCGAGCTTGGCGACGGAGGACTGCTCGTGGGCCCCCGCGGCGTTCTGGCCCGCGCCGTCGGCCGCGCCGACGACGTCCGGCTACAGCTACCTCTACGAGTACATCACCTTCTCGTACAGCTACGAGTCGACGCCGACCGCGCTCGCCGACAAGAGCGAGCTCCAGGCGGCGGTCGACGCGTGGCTCGCGGACTCGGACGCGGCCGAAGAGACGTACGGACACATCAGCGCGTGGGACACGTCGAAGGTGACGGACATGTCGGAGCTGTTTTGCGTTTATTCTTGGGCCTGCACGCACTCCAACACGAACGCGCAGTCCTTCAACCAGGACATCAGCGGCTGGGACACGTCCTCCGTGACGGACATGAGCAACATGTTCTACTACGCTTACGGCTTCGACCAGGACATCGGCGCCTGGGACACGTCGTCCGTGACGGACATGAGCTACATGTTCAACCAGGCTGCCGCCTTCGACCAGGACGTCGGCGCCTGGGACACGTCGTCCGTGACGGACATGAGCAACATGTTCAACCGTGCTTACGCCTTCGACCAGGACATCGGCGCCTGGGACACGTCGTCCGTGACGAGCATGAGCTGGATGTTCTACTACGCCCGTGCCTTTGACCAGGACGTCGGCGCCTGGGACACGTCGTCCGTCACGAGCATGCGCTCGATGTTCTCGGGTGCTGACGCCTTCAACCAGGACGTCGGCGCCTGGGACACGTCGTCCGTGACGAGCGTGAGCCGCATGTTCTACAGCGCTAACGCCTTCAACCAGGACATCGGCGGCTGGGACACGTCGTCCGTGACGGACATGAGCTCCATGTTTCAAAGTGCTTACGCCTTCAACCAGGACATCGGCACCTGGGACACATCGTCCGCGACGGACATGAGCTCCATGTTCCAAAGTGCTTACGCCTTCAACCAGGACATCGGCGGCTGGGACGTGTCGTCCGTGACGGACACGAGCTACATGTTCCTCGATGCTGGCGCCTTCAACCAGGACGTCGGCGCCTGGGACACGTCAGCCGTGACGGACATGAGCGGCATGTTCTACAGCGCTGACGCCTTCGACCAGGACATCGGCGCCTGGAACACGGCGTCCGTGACGGACATGAGCTACATGTTCTTCAGTGCTGTCGCCTTCGACCAGGACATCGGCGGCTGGAACACGACGTCCGTCACGGACATGAGCGGCGTGTTCTACGGCGCTAACGCTTTCGACCAGGACATCGGCGCCTGGGACACGTCGTCCGTGACGGACATGGGCGCCATGTTCTACTTTGCTCGCGCCTTCGACCAGGACATCGGCGCCTGGGACACGTCGTCCGTCACGGACATGAGCTCCATGTTCCGCTGGACTGACGCCTTCGACCAGGACATCGGCGGCTGGGACACGTCGTCCGTGACGGACATGAGCTACATGTTCCTCGATGCTGGCGCTTTCAACCAGGACGTCGGCGGCTGGGACACGGCGTCCGTGACGGACATGAACCGCATGTTCTACAGCGCTGACGCCTTCGACCAGGACATCGGCGCCTGGAACACGGCGTCCGTGACGGACATGAGCTACATGTTCTTCAGTGCTGTCGCCTTCGACCAGGACATCGGCGGCTGGAACACGACGTCCGTCACGGACATGAGCGGCGTGTTCTACGGCGCTAACGCTTTCGACCAGGACATCGGCGCCTGGGACACGTCGTCCGTGACGGACATGGGCGCCATGTTCTACTTTGCTCGCGCCTTCGACCAGGACATCGGCGCCTGGGACACGTCGTCCGTCACGGACATGAGCTCCATGTTCCGCTGGACTGACGCCTTCGACCAGGACATCGGCGGCTGGGACACGTCGTCCGTGACGGACATGAGCTACATGTTCCTCGATGCTGGCGCTTTCAACCAGGACGTCGGCGGCTGGGACACGGCGTCCGTGACGGACATGAACCGCATGTTCTACAGCGCTGACGCCTTCGACCAGGACATCGGCGCCTGGAACACGGCGTCCGTGACGGACATGAGCTACATGTTCTTCAGTGCTGTCGCCTTCGACCAGGACATCGGCGGCTGGAACACGACGTCCGTCACGGACATGAGCGGCGTGTTCTACGGCGCTAACGCTTTCGACCAGGACATCGGCGCCTGGGACACGTCGTCCGTGACGGACATGGGCGCCATGTTCTACTTTGCTCGCGCCTTCGACCAGGACATCGGCGCCTGGGACACGTCGTCCGTCACGGACATGAGCTCCATGTTCCGCTGGACTGACGCCTTCGACCAGGACATCGGCGGCTGGGACACGTCGTCCGTGACGGACATGAGCTACATGTTCCTCGATGCTGGCGCTTTCAACCAGGACGTCGGCGGCTGGGACACGTCAGCCGTGACGGACATGAGCGGCATGTTCCGCTCGGCCGACAACTTCAACCAGGACATCGGCCCCTGGGACACGTCGTCCGTGACGAGAATGTACAAGATGTTCAGCGGAGCATCAGCTTTTGATCAGGATCTCGGTTGGTGTGTCTTAGCGTCGACAGAAGCCGATGACGATGACGATGACGATGACGATGACGATGACGATGCCGATGACGACTACGAATTCGGCGCTTCTTGCTCCGTCGTCAATTGCGGCGTCACCTTCGCTTCGGCGACCTGCGCGCCGTCTCCCGCCCCGACCGCGGTGCCCAGCACCTACGCGCCCAGCACCTACGCCCCCACGACCTACGAGCCCAGCCAAGTCCCGACGACCTCTCCCAGCTACGCGCCGACGTCCTGCCGCGACATCTTCACGACGGCCGTGTGCGCGGGCTTCGTCGCGATCACCGCGGACGCGTGCGAGACCGTCTTCTGCCTCGACGGCTGCGGGCACGCGGGGATGTGCGATTTAACGTGCGACGTCTGCGGCGCGACGGCGACGCCGATCGTCGCGCCGACGAGCGGCCCGACGCGGACGCTGGACTCGCCGAGCTCCGCGCCGACCGCGGTCCCGAGCGCGCCGACGGCCCAGCCCAGCTTCGGGCGCAGCTCGTACGTCCAGGTCGTGCTGGCCGCGCACGCGACGGACAGCAAGGTCGCCCAAGTGTACGTCGAGCTTTCGTCCGACGTCGGCGAGTTCACGTCCGTCCTCGTGACCGCGACGGCGAACGTGGAGCTCGTCGAGGCGCGGCTCGCCGGCGACGAGGGCATGTTCTTCCGGACCGAGGACGACGTCGGCTGGTTCGGGCAGGCGCGCGCGTCGGGCCACTGGGCGGACCTCGTCTTCGGCGACGGCTTCGACTTCGCGACGCTCGACGTGTCGTCCGTCTCCATCTCGGATTCGCGGCGCCGGAGCGTGGGCGACGACGCGATCGTCGTCTACGAACGAGCGGGAGGCTCCGACGAGGCCCTCGTCGTGGCGCGGCTCCTGGCCGGGTCCGAAGACCAGCTGGAGATCTCCGTCATCTCCGCAGCGACGCTCTGCGCGGTCGGCTTCGGCTGGCAGGCGAACGCCAACGCGACGTCGTACGAAAAGCGCTTCTCCGGCAGCGTCGTCGCGAACCTCGCGGGCGAGCGCGTGGCCATGTACACGACCGACTGCCTCGAGGGCGGACGCGCGCACGAGCTCGTCACGCTCCGCTTCGACGACGAGTTCTTCATCGAGCGCTTCGGATTCCTCGAGCTGGTCGCGACGAACGCCGCGGGCGTCTCGCTGCCGAACGTGTCGTCCTTGGTCTACCTCAGCACCGAGGCGGCGACTCAGACGCCGACGCTCGCGCCGACGCTGTCGCCGGCGCCGACGCGCGTCCCCACGACCGCGCCGACGGTCTTCGAGACCTTCTGCGGATCCGTCCCGGGCGACGTCGACGGCCTCGACGGCGTCGACGTGACGGATGCGCTGCTCATCGCCATGTACACGCAGGATCTGGCGCTGCCGACGACGACGTGCTACGAGCGCATCGATTTCGGCTGCGGCGACGTCAATCTGGACGACGCGACGTCGATCCTCGACGCCGTCCTCATCGCGCGGCACTACGTGGGTCTCGTGGAGTTGGTGTGGCCCGACTCGCCCACGAGGATCCCGACCTACTCGCCGACTGCGTCGTTCTTGCCGTCGTACCTCCCGACGACCTCGGACCCGTCGATGATGCCCACGGCCGAGCCGACGTACGAGCCGAGTGCGGCGCCGTCCTACGCGACCCCCTTGCCGACCACGAGTCCCCCCACCCCGGCACCGTCCTCCACCATGACACCGTCCTCGCCGGCGCCGTCAGCGCAGCCGAGCCCGTCCCCATCGTCCAACCCGACGAAGACACGCTACCCGAGCAGCGTGCCCACGTCCGAGCCGTCGAGCGTGCCGACGACGCTGCCGACGTCGACGCCGACGTACTCTCTGCCTCCCCTCGACTCGCGCCGCCGCCTCGACGCGCGCTCGGCCCAACTCCTGCTCGAACCCGCGCCCGATGGCGGCGTCGCCATACACGTCGACGCCGAGTTCTCCGCGCTCTCCATCAAATTCTCCGCGACTCTCGACAACTACACGTCCGCGCTCTCCCACGGCGAGTTCGTCCAGGGCGCGTCGGGCATCTCGTGGTTCTCGACGGAGTCCCAGCCCTCAGGGACCTTCGCCGTCGCCTACTTCCCGGAGGGCTGGGCCGAGGTCGTCGAGGTCGTCGTCGGCGACGCGGACGGCGTCGCGTACGACGTCGCGATCGTCGTCGCGCCGACGTCCGCGCCGTCGCCCGCGCCGACGTTCCGCTCGCGCCACGCGCTCCAGCTCGTCGGCATCTCGCGCGCCTCGTTCGGCCGGGCGGAGCGCGAGGCCTTCCACGACGCCGTGGAGCGCTGCGTCGAGGACGTCAGCGTGAACGTCACGGCGGTGAGCGACGGCGAGGCCCGCCGCCGCGCGCTCACCGAGGACTCGGCCGTGACGCTGGCCTTCGACGTCGTGTCCGCGCGCCCCGTCGACGACGTGAACGCCGCGCTCGAAGACGCCGTCGCGAGCGGGGCCCTCCTCGAGGCGCTGGGCAGCTTCGAGAGCTTCGAGGCGGTCACCGTGGACGTCGACTCCTACGAGTCGCTGACGGTCGCCACGCTCGCGCCGAGCGCCGCCGCCGTCGCCGACGACGCGACCGCGAACGCGACGCTCGCCCCGAGCGCCGAGGGCGCGACGCCGAGCGGGCTCGCGACGACGGCGCCGAGCGGGCTCGCGACGCCGGTGCCGAGCGTCACGGCCGCCACGCCGGTTCCGAGCCTGGTTTCGGCGAACACGACGGGAACGAGCGCCGCGCGCGACGACGAAAGCGACAGCGCCACGGTCCTCATCGTGCTCGTCGTCGTCGGCGTCGCGGTCCTCGCGATCGGCGCCGCGGTCGTCCGCCGCTTCCGCCCGTCGGCCAAGTCGAAGTACGCCATGCCTCAGATCACGTTGCCGAAGCCGGGAGGAAAGCACAAGGTCAGCCCGCGCGTCAGCCCGGACGACGACGACGACCTCGACACGACGAGCGCGCTCCACGTCGTGGAGAAACCCGAAGCGACGACGACGAAGCCGTCGCCGCGCGTGCTGCCCGCTCCCGCCGCGGACGCGGACGACACGACGAGCGCGCTCCACGTCGTCGACAAGCCGGAACCGACGCTCACCAAGCCGTCGCCGCGCGTGCTGCCCGCTCCCGCCGCGGACGCGGACGGCACGACGAGCGCGCTCCATGTCGTCGACAAGCCGGAACCGACGCTCACCAAGCCGTCGCCGCGCGTGCTGCCCGCGGCGGAGCCGCCGCGCGTCGAAGAGACGCCCGCAAAGGCCAAGGCCAAAATGTGGGCGTTGGAATCGCCGCTCCCTAAAGAAAAACAGTTCCCGCCCGCGCCGCCGCTGCACCTCCAGCAGCCTCGGAAGGCCCTCCTGCCGCCGGTGCGTCGCCCGCCGCCCAACCCGAAGCTCCTCCCGCCGGTGCGTCGCCCGCCGCCCAACCCGAAGCTCCTCCCGCCGGGCCGCCGCGCGCCGCCCAAGCCCGCCGCGAACCCGCTGCACCCGCCGCCCAAGCCCGCCGCGAACCCGCTGCACCGCCGCCCGTTGCCGCGGACGCCCGAAGCACAGCGCCCGTTGCCGGCCCCCGAGCCGCTTTCCGACGACGCGTCGACGGCGTCGGCGTCGCGGCACCACCGCCCGCCGCCCAACCTTCCAAACGACCACCTCTCGGAGCTGTGGCTCCTCTGCGAAAAGACGGAGAGAGACACCACCGACTAGCGCCCTCCACACAGTTCAGAGCCGATCCATCGCAATCGAACTTGTTTTTGACCCTCCCCACCCCAGTAATCGTCGTTCGTGCAGACAGGGTGTTACGTCGATGCGCAACTAGGAGTGTGGCCGAGGCTCTCTTCTTGGTTCGAGCCCGGCGTCTCGATGGCGCGCGGCGCGCGCTTGTCGCGGGCCGCGGTCGAGGTCCGCTCAGGCGAACATGGCGGCGCCGGCGAGGGCCGCGGCGAGCGCGGCGACGCCCGCGGACGCGGCGCCGTCGGACTCCTCGTCCGCGATGACGTTGCCGCCCTCGTCGCCGTGGTCGCCCTCGTGCTCGTCGCCGTGCTCGTCGCCGTGCTCGTCGCCGTGGTCGGCGGCGCCCGGGTTCTCGAAGAACTCGGCGCGCGTGTTGACCGTGGAGCCGTCGTCGCAGGCCTCCATGCCGGCGACGGGCGCGCCGTCGTGGATGAGGGGGCCGCCGACGTCCGCGCAGGTGATGCCGAGGCACGAGTAGGTCGACTCGAGCGCGGCCTTGACGGCGGCGAAGCCGCCGGGCACGACGGTCGCGGCGGACGCCTCCGTGAGCTCGGTGGGGATGGCCATGGACGCCGCGAGGACCTCGCCGGCGGCGGCGTCGCAGTGCGCGACGCGCGGGAGCGCGGCGTACGCGAAGGCGTGGTACTCGGCGAGGACCTCGCCGTCGGAGGAGAAGGTCTGGCCGCCGCCGTTGGGGTCCGAGCGCCAGGCGTAGCGGAGCGTGCCCTGGATGAGGGGGACGGTCATCTGCGCGACGATCTCCGCCGTGAGGTCCACGGCGGCCGCACAGTCCGGGCCCGAGGCGTCGTGGCCGTCGAGGCGGCGGTACTCGGACTCGTCCATGGCCTCGGACGCCGTCGACGACCGCACGGCCGCGAGGCCCGCGTGGTAGAGGTTGAGGAGCTTCGCGTTGACGTTCGAGTTCTGCTCGTCGTTGGCCGCGCGCCACGTCTTGGCCGGCTACGTCGGCGTTGCAGGTCTGGAAGTTGCCGCAGCGCTTGTCCGCGAGGCGGTACGAGAGGACGCCGGAGGAGCCCGCGGGCGTCTGGAGCGACCCGGCGTAGAAGGCCCAGCCCTCGTCCCAGGCGTGGGGCGCGCCCGTCTCGTCGGCGATGTTGCCCGACTCGCACTTGCCGATGGCGCTGTAGAGCTCGTGGAGCGCGTAGATCCACGTGTTCTGGTAGACGGCGCCCTTCATGGCCATCTGCTTGGCCATGGCGTCCGTGAGCGTCGTGCCCGTGAAGAGCGCCGGCCGCGGGTCGGCCTTGGCCGACGAGTCGTCCGCGAGGCGGTCCCAGAGCGCCGCGCGCACGTAGTCGTCGGCGTACTTCTCGTTGCCGTGGTACGCGAAGTACTCGTCGTACGTCGCCTCGCCCGCGAGCGACTTGGAGAAGCCCCGCACCGTGCGAAAGCCCTCGCCCTTGACGGAGTTGCCGCCCTCGGAGTAGGCCGCCCAGAACCTGCGCGGGAGCGGACGATCTCGCGGGCCTCGGGGGCGAACGTCGGTCGGCGAGGGGGGCGCGATCGGGGTGTGGACGACCTCGCGGACCTCGGGGGCGAGGCGCGCGCGATCCATGGGACGCGCGACGGGCCACGGGCCCCGTGCCGCGTCGCAGGACCCCGCGAACTCGGCCGAGGCGGCGCGCTCGGACCCGTTTTCGTGCGCGCGGCCCGCGCGACGGGAGGGGGGCGACGGCGGTCGGGGGGAGGGGGAGCGGGTGCGGCGGGTGGTGAAGGCCCGTCCCGCCCGGCCTCCGGGCGCCCCTCCCTCTTTCTAGGGCGCCCAGGGCGCGCGGATACGCTCTCGGGGGGCGTCGGGCGCGGAAGGCGCGTGGAAAAGGACTCTGGTGGACGGGCCCGTCCCAGTTGTCGGCGTCGAGAGCGGCGTCCATGTCAGCGACGTCCAAGTCGATGGCGGCGTGGGCGTCGACGTTCGAGGCGGGGTAGTAGCCGGCGATGGGGGCGTACGTCGTGGCGGCGTGGCCGGCGAGGCGGCGGGGGCCCTTGTTCTTGGCCTCGTCGTCGCCGCGAAGCGACACGGCGAGGGCCGGGGCGGCGAGAGAGAGGGCGAGGACGCGGACCATTGTTGACAGAGAAGATCGAGAGCGTGGAAATCCGCGAGAGCACGAGAGGAGCAACAGCGAGGCGAGGGGCGTGCCGGGCAGCGGCGAAGGCACGCGCCTTGTGCTCGTCGGGATCCCAATGCGCGCGTGCCAGTTGAAGGTAGCCTAGGCTAGTTTAGACTAACGTAAATCACGCCCGCCCCACCCCCCACACCTCCCACACCGAGCGGGAAACCTCCCAGACCCCAGAAAACCCAAGTTCAACCAGGATGACGATGAGGGGGGGTAAACGCGCGCGAATCCACGTGCCCGCCTCAAAGCCCCTCCCGCGACCCGAATCGCCCCCCCAAAACTACCCCAAAATAACTCACCCCACCGCGAACAGCCACACCGCCACCCCCACCTCGAGCCCCGCGAGCGTCGCCGTGTGGTCGCCGCGCGCGTCGGGCCCCGCCGCGGCCTCGAGGCGGCCGCCGACGGCGCGGAGCCGCGCGCGGCTGCGGACGCGCGCGACCCCCACCCCGCCGTCCTCGACGACGGTCACCGTCGCGTTGGTCAGCCTTCCGACGGCCCAGCGCAGGTCCACCTCGAGGCCGCCGCGCGCGCGGAGGCCCGTCGCCGCGCCGGCGCGCCACGACGGCGGCAGCGCGGGCAATAAGTGGAGCTCGACGGGCGGCCCGCCGGCGAGGGCGCCGCGGTGCGACTGGAGGAGCGCCTCCGTCGCCGCGGCGAGGAAGCCGAGGTTGCCGTCGAGCTGGAACACGTCCCCGGACGACGTGATCATCCCGCGGTCCGGCGGCCCCGCGCGGCCCGGCGGCGGCGCGCGCTCGAAGCACCTGGGCGGGACACCGAATCTTCAACCCGACTTCAATAAGATCGTATGCGACGGTTTCGTTCGTGGAGCACTCGACGAGAGCAGACGACTCGTCCAAAAATCAGCCGAATCGAGCCAGAGAGTTCTGAAGTCTTGCTGGACGGGGCCATTCCACACGCAGCGAAGCGCGTGTCGCAGCCCGCGGCCTTGAGCTTGGGCTCGGGCCGGAGGGGCGGGTGCGTCGCGAGGAGGTTGCCGCAGAAGTAGCCCGCGACGAGCTCGACGAGCGACCGCTCCACGGCCGCGCCGTCGAGCGTCCGCGCCGCCAGGCTCGCGGCCCACGCGCGCGACCAGCCTACGAAGCACGACGGTGACGATTTCTCCCACCCCGAATCTCTCGAAAATCGTCGGACGCCGCGACCGGCCCGTGTGGCCGCCGCCGGCCGCGAGCTTGCGGTCCAGCGTGCGCGCGGCCGCGGCCGCCGCGCCGTCGGCGTCGTCGAGGGGCGACAGCTGGCGGCCCGGGTAGAGGGCAAACAGACCCGAGAAGTGGCGGTGCGCCTCGTCCGGCGCGGCCGCCGCGCGGCCGCCGACGGCGACGGGGTACTCGCGGAGCATCCCCTCGGCGTCGGCGACGGGGCGGCCGCCGTGGGGCAACGACGCGAGGAGCCTGGGCAGCAAAAGGGTGATTCAATGTCGCTTCAACGTGAGTGTTCCGCGCGCGCGCGTTCCGGAAAAAGCATCCACGTTTCGAGACCGTTCCGAGAGACGATCGCTCGTCCAAAAATCAGCCAAAACGAGTGGAAAACGGCCGAGAAAGAAGCCTTTGAAGTTGGGAATTTCGCTCTCTTTTCCTGCCCTGCGAGGAGCCGCGCCGCGAAGGCCTCCGTCGCCGCCGCGCACGCCGCGCCGCGCGCGCAGAGCTCCCCGTAGGCCGTCGCCAGGCGATGGAGCACGGCGACGTCGAGCGCGGGCGACAGCGCGACGAAGCCCCAGTCGTCGCGGGCCTTGGACGCGCCCCTCAGACTCGCCGCGGACCCGTTGAGCCGGTACGAATTCTCCGGCGACGTCGACGGCCCGGAGAGCAGCGCGGGGGCGCTCGGGAGCCCGAGCTTGCCCGCGTCGCCGGCCGCGACGGGCAGCAGGTAGCCCTCGAAGAAGTCGAGCGCGCCGCCGAGCACGCGCGCGGCCGCGGCGAGCTTGGAAGCGTCGCCCGGCGCGTGCTCGGACGCCTCCGAGAGCGCGAGCGCGGCCCAGGCGCCGCACGTCGCGCAGAGCGCCCACTTGTTCTCGCCGAGCGCGCGCGCGTCGCGCCAGAGGTCCGTGTAGCCGTGCGCGACCCAGCCCGGCGCGCCGTACCACTCGCGCGCGGTCTTTGCGCCCGCCGCCGCGAGGCCCTCGAGGAAGTCGACCAGCGGCGCCGCGGCCTCGCCGACGTTCGCGGACCAGGCCGCCCAGTACGTCATCTGCAGGTTGATGTTGAGGTGGTAGTCGCCGTTCCACGGCGCCGCGAGACCTAGGAGGAGAGAAAAAACATGGGTAAGTTCAGAGAAGCGCGCGGGGACGCCGATGCACCGCGCCGTCGGCCCAGACGCCCTGGAGGTTCGCGGGCAGGCCGCCTCGCCGGCTCGACGACGCGAGGAGGTAGCGGCCGTAGGCGAAGGCGAGGCTCAGGAGCTTCGGCGCCGTCGCCGGCGCCGTGCCGTTGCCGCAGGGCGCGCCGAGGCGCTCGACGCGCTCCGCCGTCGGCCGGCCCCGCGGCTCGGCCGCGTCCGCGAGCCGCAGCGTCGCTCTTCCGGCCGCCGCGCGGAAGTCGGCGACGTGGCGGCCCCGGAGGTCGTCCCAGCCGCGGCGCGCCGCGCCGGCGAGCCGCGCCACGCAGGTCTCCCGCGGGTCCGCGCCGTCGTAGGACGTCGCGCCCGCGACGAGCAGCACGACGGCCTCGCCGCGGCGCGTCGCCGTGCGCGGCGGCGTCTCCGCGCCGAAGACGCGGGCCAGGAGCGACGGGTCCAGGTCCGGCGCGACGGCCGCCGGCGCCGCGTCGACCGCGACCGCGCAGGCCGCCCAGGCCAGGTCGTCGCCCGCGGGCGCGCTCGCCAGAAGCACGACGTCGCTCGAGCCGCCGCCCGCGGGGAGCGCCGCGGCGTCGCCGGCGCCCGCGCGGTCGAGGCCGAACTCGACGGCGGCGCAGGCGCCTTCCGGGCCCGCGCAGTCGAAGCGCAGCGCGAGCACGGCGTCGGGCCGCGACGCGAGCGCGGTGAGCCGCCGCGTCTCGTTCCGCGCTTCGAACGACGCCTCGAAGACCGCGTCGCGGACGTCGAGGGACCGCGCGTAGCCGCGCACGGCGTCGCTCCGCGCGACGAGGGCGAGCTCGGCGGCGAGGCTCCGCGGCGGCCGCGGCTTCTTCGGGTCCCGCGGCGGCTCCGGCGGCCGCGGCGCGCCCGCGGCGTCGCCGCCGACGACGAAGCGGAGCGTCGCCAGGCCCATGAACGACGCCACGGGCCCGCCGTCGAGCCAGCGGCTCTGCTCGTGGGCCTCGGCGACGTCGCCGGCCAAGAGCGCGGCGCGCGCGTTCGCGAAGGCGTCGCGCGGCGTCTTCGGCCGCCGCGCCCACCTCGCGTCGTCGGGCGTCGCCTTGCCGGCCTTGGCGCGCTCGGCGCGCTTCGCGTCGCCGGCGGCGCGCGCGGCCGCGTGCGCCTTCTCGACCTTCGTCCGCGTCTCGTAGAGCGACTCCTCCGCGAGCGCGACGCCGCCGACCCACGGCTCGCCGCCGAGGAGCGCGCCGAGCGCGCCTGGGTGATTCGCTTCAGCGTGGCCGTTCCAGAAAAAAACATCGAGACCGTTCCGAGAGATGATCGCTCGTCCAAAAATCAGCCGAAACGAGCGGGAAACGGCCGAGAGAGGAGCCTTTGGGCACCCTTTTTCCCGCCCCGGAGCGCGCCGTTGCCCAGCGGGTAGGCCTCGGACCAGTCCGCGGCGGGCGCGGCGGCGTAGAGGTGGCGCTCGCCGTCGAGCGCCGTCGCCCGGTCGCCGCGGCACGCGAACGGCGCCGTCCGCGCGCGCCGCTTCTCCTGCGGCGTCGTCCCGACCCACGCCGGCGCGCGCAGCTTCTTCAGCGCGGCGGCGTCGACGCCGACGCGGCCGGCGATGAAGCCGGAGACGAGCTTGGCGTCGGGCGAGGCCGCGGACCGCGCGCCCTTGAGCCAGCAGCCCTCCGCCAGCGTCCAGGCGACGCAGTTGCCGCGCGCGGCGCACTTGCCGCAGCACTCGGCCGCCGTCGCCGCCTCGACGAAGCCGTTGGGCAGGTCGCCGCCCTTGAGGTCCGTGCCGTTGCGCCAGGCCGACGGCGCGCAGAGGTTCGCCGCGGCGCGCGCGGCGGCCGCCGGCGTGACGACCGTGGCCGCGGCCGCGACGGCGGTGACGACCGCGCGCGGCGGCGCCGGCCGCGTCGGTTTGGGCGGCGGCTGACTGGCGCGCGCCGGCGGATCCGCCTCGAGCCGCCAGACGAGGAAGCAAAACGTCGCGACGACGAGGCCCAGCGCGCACCACAAGGTGGTGAGGCTGGTCGTCGGTTTCTGCGGCCGCGGTGACTGCGGCGATCGCGGCGACCGCGCAACGCTGGAGTTTTCATCGTTGTGGTCGCGCCGCTTCGGCTTGTGGCGCATGGTGTTTTACGGCGCTGCGTGCATGGGTGAGGCTGGCACGCGCTTTAGTGTTTACGGCGCTTTGCGCATGGGTGAGGCTGTCGCGTGACGACGCGCTTGGGCGGCCGCTCTCCAGCCATCTCTGCCACACTTCAAGGAGATTGCAAGGACGAGATGTTTACCCCTGCTCGGCTCTGCGATGCGCCTCTGACAGAGTAGTCTGAGCTTGCAATGGCGGCCGAATCCGTCCTCAGGCACTACGCAAAGCTCGTCAACCTCCACGCCGGCGTCGTCTGCAAAGTGGGCGCGCGCGGCCGCGGCCTCTTCGCGTCCCAGCGCATCGCCGCCGGCACGCAGCTGCTGGCCGTGCCGCCGGCGCTCTGGATCACGCAGGCGTCGATCCGCGCGCGCGCGCCGCGCGCGCTCGTCGCCGAGGTCGACGCGCTGAGCGGCGGAGACAGCCGCGTGGCCGCGGCGACGCTGACGACGCTCGCGCTGCTCTCGGGCGAGGCCGAGTCGGCGCCGTACGTCGCGACGCTTCCCGCGGAGCCGCCGGACGTGCCGTCGCTCTGGCCCGCGGAGCGGCTCGCGGCGCTCGACGGGTCGCCGGCGCGCAACGGCGCGGAACAGTTCGCGAGCCTCGTCGGCGCCGCGCACAAAGCGCTGCGCCTCGCGGCGCCCGAGCGCGACTACCTCCGCCTGTCGTGCCTCGCGCGGTCCCGCGCGCTCTCGGGCTTCGAGGACGACGCCTTCGAGTTCACGCTCGTGCCGGCCCTGGACCTCGCGAACCACGACCTCCGGCCCACGGCGGCGATCGCCGACGGCGACGGCGGCGCGAAAGCGCTCGTGGCCGTCGCCGACCTCGAGCCCGGCGACGAGGTCACGATCAGCTACGGCCCGCTGTCGAACGCGAAGCTGCTGCGCGTCTACGGCTTCGCGCTCGAGAACAACCCCCACGACGCCGTCGTCCTCGCGCGGTCGGAGCTCTGCGCCGCGCGCCGGCGCGTCGACGACGCCGCGGCGCCCGTGCCCGGCGGCGGCGCCGACGACGTGCTGACGCGCGCGTCGCCCCTCGCGGCGAACGCGCTCCGGTCGCTGCGCGCGGCGCTCCTCACGACGGAGGACGCCGTCAACGCGGGCGCGCGGGGCCTCGGCGGCGCCGTCGAGGTGTCGACGCCCGTGAGCCTCCGCAACGAGCGCGCGTGCCTCGACGTGCTCCGCGACGCGCTCCTCGCGAAGCTCCGCGCCTACCCGGCGGCGCCCGACGACGACGCCGACGCCTTGGCCGGCGACCTCGCGCCCTGGGAGCGCCACGCGGTCCTCACGCGCCTCGGCGAGATGCACATCATCCTCGGCCAGCTCGAGAAGGTCGACCAGGCCTTCGCCGTCATCGGGCGATGACGGGGTCGTGTTCTAAAGTCGCTTCGCTCGTGGTTTGGAGGCTGCTTGGGCCTGGTTAGGCGTCTGAACCTTTTGTGTCGTCTCGCCACGTTGAAGGCCCGGTTGAAGGTTTGATGCAGCCATATTGCCGCAGCGCTCGAGGCTCGCCTCGGACCCTCGTCGAAATAATCTCCGGCTGGAGCGCGCGTCGAGTGGCGGGCGCAGTCGTGCGTCGACGGCGCGACCAACCAACCAACATCAACATAGCGAGATGATGGACGTGGAAACGGCGGTGACGCTCGAGGCCGGCGTACCCGACGCCCTCTTCGGCCTCCTGCGCGTCGCCTACGCGGGCCGCGCGCGCGCCGAGGCGTCCCTCGTCCTGGCCCGCGGCGACGAGGTCGTGTGCCTCGGCCGCTGCTTCGACGGCGGCGGCGCCGAGGTCGTCGGCGCGCGCCTGCTCTTCCGCGTCGGCGGCGACGGCGGCGCCTACGAGGCCGCGCATCGCAACGCGACGCGGCTCGGCGTCGCGTCCGAGGCGCGGCAGATCGCCGCGGGCCAGGCGCGGTGCGTGGCCCTGACCTGCGGCGGCGCCTGCTGGGACGCGCCGGGCTTCTTCTCGCAGCGGACGGAGGTCGCGTCCGTGACGTCGTCGGTGTCGGCGTTTCGGACGGAGAACCGCGAGGCGGCCGCGGGGGCCACGGGCGGGCTCGTCGCCGGCGGCGACGAGGCGGCGTCCGAGGCCGCCGTCGCCGCGGCGGCGCGGCGGCGGGGGCTCTTCGCGCGCGTCGTCGGCGACGTCTACGGGCCCGGCGGCGACTTCGAGCGGAGTTTGCGGCGCGCGGGCTCCGTCGACGGCGACGGCGTCGCGCGGCTCCTGCGAGCGCTCGAGGACCGCGTCGAGGCCGTCGCGCCGGGCGCGCTGGGCGGCGGCGGCTTCGACGCGGCGGCGGCCGCGCTGCGGAGCCGCGGCGACGGCCGCAACTTCCTCGCCGTCGGCCCGTCCGTCGACGACCGCCGCAAGTCCTTCGAGGGGTTGGCGGCGGCAGCGGCGACGCTCCGCGCGGCCCTCGAGGCGCGGGGCGCCCGCGTCGAGAGCGCCTTCGTGCCCGACGTCGCGTTCCCCGCGCTGGACCTCGCGCGGTGCGTCGTCGACGTCGACGGCGGGGGCCACTGGCCCGCGGCGCTCGGCGCGGGCGTCGACGCCGTGTCGGCGCTGAGCGAGCCGCTGAGCTTCGCCTGGGACCTCGTCGTCGCCGACGCCGTCTTCCCCATGACGCCGCGCGACGCCGCGGGCCTGGAGGCGGCGGATCTGACGGCGCAGCTCGGCTTAACGCGCGACGACGGCGCGGCGCTCGCGGCGGCCATCCGGTCCGGCGAGGCGCCGCCGCCGGAGCTGCTGGCGCTGACGGGGTCCCTCCGCGGCGGCCAGAAGCTCGTGGCCGCGGCGCAGAGCGGCTCCGCCGACGCCGCGCTCCGCGAGGCGTCGGGCCTGGCCGCGGCGCTCGTCGCCGCGGTTTTGGAGAGCCGCTACGACACGCCCGTCGTCGAGGCGGAGGTGCTCAAGGGCCTGCAGACGGCGTCCCTGCGCCACGCGGCGGCGCACCTCAACGAGGTGCTGCTCGGCGCCGCGGACCGCGTCGCGGACGTGCTCGACTGCCGGCCGCCGCCGTGGTACCTGCTGGGCGAGCTCTGCGTCGCGTCGCTGGACGCCGCGGCGAAGCCGCCGGCGACGTCGGGCTGGCGCCAGCGCAAGCTCGCCGTCGACTGCGCGGCGATCTTCGCCGCGGGCGCCGCGGGCGCGCTGGAGCTCCGCGGCTGCGTCGCGGTCCCGCGGGCCGCGCTCCTCGAGACGGCCAAGCCCTGGGACGGCGCGCGGTTCCTCGAGGACGAGCGGAGCCGCTACCGCGCGTCGGCGCAGCTCGACCACGGCACGATCGTGAACCCCATCACGGGCGAGGACCTCGACATCATGCAGCAGTGCGTGTCGCTGCGGCTCGAGGCGCGCGACTGCGAACTGGCGGACGCCGAGGCCTTCGACGACGTGCTGAGCGCCTTCGCCGAGGAGGTCGCGCTCAACGCGCGCGTCTGGGCGCGCGTCGCCGACGCGCCGCCGGCGGAGGCGCGCGTCATCCGCGTCAACGGCGACGGCACCTTCGACGTGAAGCCGAACGGCTCGTCGTCGAAGACGCTCCGCGACGTCCGGCGCCGCGACCTCGAGGCGGAGCCCTTGCTGGTGGTCGGCGACCCGGCGGGCGGGAAGACGACCTTCGCGAAGCAGCTGCTGACCTGGACCATGCGCGAGCCGCGCCACGCGTACCTCATCCCCTGTTTGGTGCGGGTCTGCGACGTCGTCCGCGTCTTCGCGCCGGAAACCGCGCGGCCCGCGGCGCCGCTGGCCTGGGCCTACCTGCGCCAGACCTGCGCCGAGGCGCGCTGGCGCTTCTTCGACAAGGCGCGCCA